GTCGGCTTCCAGATAGATTTAAGGACTTCGTCATGGCCTAGTGTTTACGTTTAGTATCGATGCTGACTCTATGTGCGCAATGTGACGCATGCGTGAGCGGACATCCGGTAATAAGAAATAAAGGAGCAGCGGGAATGGATTGGACAGAAACGAGGTGTTATAATCTTCGGAGTTCAATTATGGTTTGATATCATCAATCAACAAACAAATAAGAACATTACAACGGACGACCGGACGACTGTTAAAATTGAGCCCTGTATACCAGTGTTGGAAATAGCAGCTGGTCCCATATTTTTATATTATTCAAGATTAAGATTTCTTGATGAGCTAGAAAACACTCAGATTTGAAGTATGAAACTGAACATTATTGTGCCAGCTAGCCTACACCAGTTGGTTGGGATTGATTGTCAGTTCAGATGCAAAATATTGAAAGCAAAAGGTTATACACCATAGATTAATTGGGTACCACGTGTATATAAGATAGCCGAGTCGGTTTAGAGTTAGTGTTAGGGATAGGGTTTCTTGGTTGTCCACCGGACAATGTCTCAGACTGGTTAGGTTGTCCGGCGCAAATTCTGGTTGTCTCGGACAACGCTTATTTCGAGCACTGTTAAGCAACACGTATTCACCACAAAGGTGGTAAGGATGATTATCATGGCGGCATTGTTAGAAGGATCACAAGTAGTTATGACAATTATCAGTATTGTTATATGTTTTATAATATCATTACTTTTGTCATAACTTTATTATCTTTCTGACAATGGCCCCCCGGGACCTCAAACTAGCTAAAGGGTTTTCAATTTGAGTCCCACCTCGTTCACGACTGTTGTGCTCTGGAGCAAAGTGCTTTATCCAAATTTGCTGAGGGAGGAGACATACTTTCATAAGTAACTAGGGAGGAGATGAACTTTCCTTGTCACCAAAACTCTGTTATACATTCTTTAGGGAGGGCATAGCCACATGTTCTGTTTCCCATCCTTCATTGAGAATTAAATGAAAATTTAAACAAAGTTGGTTGTTTAATTACAGCGGTTTAGGGACAAAAATTTATTCAAATTTCCTGTGGCGACTGTACAACTACGCAATATTACTATTAGCCTATTAGGTACAAGGAACGGGTTTAAGGATAGAGAACATAGGTCCCAATAAAACCAATGTCATTTACATCAATATAAATATAATATTAATATTATATCAATATAATAGGTTAGGGTTATGCCAGGTATGTGACAAAAAAAATAAACTTGATGGGGTTACACTACAACTGGTACCCTTGTCAGCGTGAGAAACTAGCGGTCGCCCAGTCGCCAGTGGCGATTAGAAAATCTACCGGGCGACTGCTTGCTTGTGTCAGCTGGTCCGGCGGGGCGACTAGATAATCGCTGCACAGCAGCGAAAAAAATACAGACTTCTAAACGGGAGCGCATAGTACGACCCGTTCCTCAACGTAGATGGGGTATCCAAACCTTCTAGAGCTGCATGAACTCCCTCAACGCATGATTCGCCACACGAACAAAAACTCGCGACGGTCTAAGAAATCGATTGCGGCCGGCATGTAGTGCAGCCCGCATAACAATCAGTTTTTATATCGCAGGTGTTATCGTGGGTAGTGAGGGCACGACCAGTGACACCTGACACGCACGTAATCAAAGCTGTTAACTGAATTCGTCACTTTTCATGTGGACTATTGGAAAGTGGAATGTGCGAAGTGACTATTTTTATTCAGTTTAGATATCTAGAAGCAATGTAAACTGTATAAACTTAAAGATTCTAGGCACTTGTAACTTTGGCGGATGTGCGGCAGCATGCATCTATGCATGGGGTACCGGTGGATGCGGAGGAGAAAAACAGAAGTAAAACCTTCGCCCAGAACGTCCCGGCAAATTCCTAGAGATTCAGTAACAAGTTCTTTTTTAACAATACCAACTAACCTAAAATCTATTGTGTACTTTTTAGTTAGTGCATTGTCTGCTTCATCGTGCTGAAATTAAAATTGAATAAGAATGTGAATGAGTTTAACTTAGTCGAGTGAAATGAATAAAAAAATGTGGATCGATATGTAATTTGTTGACGAATTTCTAACATGATAGTCGCCCTGATACTGTGGCTGGTGCTGAATGCTGAGGAATGATATTAGAGTCAATGCATCAAAATTATGAAAATTTTAACAAAATCATGGTATGAAAAAGTAGGCTTCTGGCAAGCCTAAAATAGCTCCGGTAAAAAAAATTACGAGAGCTTTTTTTTCATAGGCAATATCAAAAAAAAAGAGCTCTGCGTTACCAAAATAGTCAAATTCCTTTTAAGGCCGTTCAAAGTCCATGCGAAGTAGCACTAAACTCTCATGTGTTCGATTTTCTAGGTCATGCTGTTAAAACCTCTGGGCTAATTCGATAATACTGGGCATCCCCCCCCCAATCAGCAATGCGCGTAATCAAAAATATAATTTATAGAATAATGGGCGGTCTTCAGAGACCGCTGAATCTTTGAAATCCGACTTGAGACTTGTTCCGATTTACTACGGCCATCAGTGTACAAGGTGTTCTCTAAGATCACTTATAGCCTGGCGGCCCACCAGGCTATCGTCGAGC